TCTTAACATCAAATCATCGAATATACAAAAAAAAATCTACACTTTCCAAAGCAAAAATACCATTTCTGATGGATCGTTTGTCTGTTTCTGATAGGGTAGGAATAAAATCGATTATATACCGTTCCTGATAGGGTTCTAAAAACGAGCCTTTGCCTACTAAAGTGTATGAAAAAAATGTTAGGACTAGGGTTCGTTTTTAAAATCCAATCAGGAACAGTACTAAATAAAATTTTTTTTTAACTCCATCAAGATCAGTACTGCTGATCCATCAGAAATAGTATTTTTGTCTTTCCAAACTTACCTAATATAATTTTTAGAATTTCAGTTCATATTATGTACAGGGATTATTATAAGCTTCGACTGTAATTGGGTTTATAAACGAATCTGCATTCATGAACCAAATTAACACAAATAAGTAATTCAAACGATGCTATAAAAAATTGTCAAAAAACAGCTCACTTTTGTTATAGTAAACTCTTGATACGATGAACTACGGAATTATTCAATTTAACCGTATATAGTAAAGTATGATAGTATTCTCTTGATATAAGTTATTGTGACTTCGTTATAGCGTGAGTGAGTTGTAATATTTTCTTGTATTTCAATATATGAGACCAGCTTTATTTTTCGTTGAAATACTGTATGAATAGCAAACAAAAAAAATCGTATAATTAACTTTCTATAGTGAACTGGCAATTCTTGTAGTAAAAATTTTTAAAAGTTCCATATAAAAGTAATTTACTATGTTCCTATACCGAACTCCATAAAGTAGCTTTCTATAAAAAGGTTCGATATAAAGATAGTTAATCATTTACATTGTGAAGGACAGTAGGATTAAAAATATGAGATCAGGAGGTCAGATTATCACATGATTGAGTCCCGATTGTGGTTAGCTGGTATGTATTTACAAAATATTAACTCGTATTGTATTGGCATCTTTACTTCGCATTTTATACAATCCAGCACCGAAGGCTTTAATCGTTTATTACTACAAATGGTGTACTGTATCGTGCTATTTCGAATTTTATATAATACAGTACGAAATTATCTTTATATAGCATACTATAAATACCTTTGTACTGTACCGTATCATTCGAAATTTTATAAAATACGTACAGTACACTATATACAGTATATTCAAACTACAATACGTACAGTATATAGTACTAATAACAGATAAAGTGTATAAATAAGGTACCCTGGCAATTGATTAAAGTCTATCATGAGTTCGTATCAAAAATTTTAAATAAAGTCAATAAAATATAATACCCGTAATTATCCCGGTGGGGCGTTTGGATAAATATAAGTGGATATTTGGTGATCCCTGAGGTGTAAGTTTATGTTACTTTCGGAAAACTTATTGTGTCGTTCTTTTTGTAAAACTTGGACTCACACTACGATCACCAACGTGCAGCCTCCAGTACTCTTACATAATACTAACCACTATCTCCCGGTGGGATTTGAAACCCCAACCATCGTTTAGACGGTTGGAGCCTTAGCAACTGTGCTATTTACGGGCAACTAAATTTTATTTTTCAACATTATCTATATAATAGTAATCACATCTAAATTTTTTATTTTCGTAGATTACACAAATTATCACATTTTCATTTTTAAATTTTCTTCTGAAACTTTAATCAAAATGTACAATACTTTTTACAACAAACTTGTAACCGAAGTTTTTATGAATCTAACAGTATGAAGAATATATGAGCAATTATTTTATCTACTTTGGTTAAATTCTTCTCATTCGTGAAATATTAATCTAAAAAGTGGTTTACTAGGTATGCACGAGTGCGAACTTTCTCCAAAATGTATCTTCGAAGGCCAGTGCATTATAGTAACAGAGAAATCGAAGGAAACTATTTTATGCTTTGTAAATCGCGCGTTAATTCAAGATCCTTTTATTCTTTTACTTTTTTTTATATATTATTTAGATTTACACTTACTAACATTGTTTTATTTATCTAGACGTTAGTATATATATAAGACTTAGAACGGAGAAGAAAATTATTATTTATCCGTTCCTGTGCTGTAAGACCTTATAATACGATTGTGCATGTCAGTCTAAAATGGACCTCAGAAACTTTGTGGGATTAAAGTTCTCATGAAGATATTGGCGGTGCAATTTAAAGTCGTATAACTGTTAATACAACACGATTTGTATTACAATACGACAAATATGTATGGGTAATTGCGCTGGATTTTTTAACATGATAATGATCCAAAACATATATGAGGTTTGTGACGAACTTACATTGTGATTACTATATATTGTGATTACTAAACCAGTTTATTTTTGCTTTCGTGTAGAACTTTTCTCCAAATTTCTGGGTCAGGCCTATCGGACTTAGGCTGGCACTTAGTAATACAAGTCAACCATTTCTGGGCCAGCTGGGCGGCTTTACTTGATGAATGGGCTATGACTTTTTAGTAAAACTTTTAGTGATCTTAGGCAAAATTTGTTAATTCTGGTCTTACCGATCATGATTTCGCGGTATTTCGACCAGACCAATTTAACTTCATCGGTGAACGAGGAATCAAATGATTTGCGACAAGTGATCTGAGTGGATTTAAATATCTTCTCGAGAATGGGTTAAGCAAGTGGAGAAAAATGCAAATAATTTGATATCAATACGAATGGATGGGTGATTATAAAAAGAATGATTATAGTAAGGTTGATGATAACAATGACGTGTGATATCTATAATTAGTGATATCAAGTGATGGATTTACTAAATGGTTGAATTTTTGTAATAATAAAAAAAAAATTAAAATTAAAATCAATAAAATTTAATAAGTAAAACTTTAAACTTTGCATTTGTTACTATTATTGATGCACTTCATCGTATTAAAATTATTTTACGAAATTGGTGCATCTTGATCTCATAGGAAGAAATTCGTCTGGTTGCTAATTTTTGTCAATCGACCCGTGATTTCCCGTGATGATTAATCAATCAAATTACATAATTTTTAAAAAATTGGCCGGCCGGTTAAATATGACAAAAAAAATTACCAACTAATAAATACACACAAAAGAATTAAACACATATATTTCGAGAATAGATAGGTACACGTAAAGTGAGGCAAATGCAATATTTTTATTACTAATAAACCCGAACTCATTAAAGACATTCTATGATATAAACCAAAAATTTTACGTTTAATAATCCCAAACTATACTAAAAGAGTGGACCAAATTTAAAATTAAACCCGTGTCGTTTTATTGCTAAAGAACTTGTACTTATTCAATTAAACAAGGTTTATTTTTAAATATAATAAAGTTCTTAAACGAAACGTTCTGTTTTGAAAAAGTACTTTAAAATTACCTTCAAATTTATTTTTATTTGCCTATTTCAAAAAGTCGCTACTAAACTAACACTACTTATATTAGAGATTATTAGATCTTGTTTTTAAAGGCAGTCTTTTGACACTCGAAACGATTTAATAATTTTTTTTAGTATGTAACACTTGAGTTCTTAAAAGGTACTCTAAACCATCTAAGTATCCGGGCAATTAATCTACATCAACCAATTAGACGGATTTCGTCCTATGAATCTTGATCTGGTCGGTATGTTGGATTTAATTCTAACGACCGACCCGTGCTAGAACGTATCGTTGTCATGATTACTGAGGTGTGTCATGTAAAAAATTGCTAAAATATATACTTTTCAAATTCATTTTTAATTATTCTCGAATTTTACAAGATGAACATAAATTCCAAGAAACAAGGAATGGATCAAAAATACAGCCTTTTATTATTATTATTATATTATTTAATAAAATCAAGAATGAATTTTTTTCCGCGAATTTATTTATGAAAAAATTTTACCTTTATAACTGTGTAATCGCTTTATTTTTTATGTTACAATAAAACCACCAATCAAAAAAAAAAAAAAAACACAAGTTTACAAACTAATAATACACACAGAAGAATTTATAATGACATTTAGAAAATAGATATGCGCAAAGCAGGTAAATGTATAAGCCAAAAAAAAATAATTAATTAAAAAATAAAAGTAAAAGAGAAAAAATCATAATAGCGATTTAGCTTTTAAAGCTAAATACGCACAAGCCTTTAGGACCGGCGGGGATTCCGATTGTATCGCGAGTGTCTTCGAAATATAGATCACTTCTGGCTCTTCAAATGACCTGCATATGAACCAGAAGTGATCGTATGTGGAAAGTATTGAATACAATATGCCATTCTGCAACATGTATCCGTATACTTGACGGATCACTGTTCTTGCTCTTCCGTTTTCCTGATAGAATTCAGGAAAAGTCTTTTCGCTGAGATCTTCGAGAATGTGACTTCTCTTGATCTCAGCTATAAATAGTGTTACGGGCAAAAACAGCCCAACACACACCAACAAAAAGAACGTCGTTAAGGTGAAGCGATTACAATTTGGCGGTTTAAAACTTTAGTCGAATATGTTACACGGGAACAATGTGCATTACGATGGTCAAAATGGACTTTATAGGGTTATTTTATGAGCGAACTGGATCTTCTTTATTATATCGTTAAGAACTATTACCATCTGTTACATTTGCCTCTAAAACTAAAGGGCTTTTTATATACATTTTTACAAAGCAAAATAGAAGACAAGAAAACGTTCACGCCATCTCAGATTTCATAATTCTGGTATGATCTTCTAAATCTTGTATACAAATTGTATTATTAAACAAAGATATAATAAATTACCTAATCTAAGAATAATAAATGCCTTCGATTCGTTTTTTCAATCTTTCGATGGTCTCATTATATCTAACAATTTCGTTACTCTAGTATTTTTCCCTCAATCATCTATATTACCACGGCCACACATTTAACCCGACAAGGTAATATTACAAACCAAATCGGGTAAGCATCATCTTCTCAACGGGATCTTCGGCGTAATCGTTCGATGAGGCTTGGCTTGCGCATACATTTCACAGTCTTGCTGCAGAGGATCGTCATTCAAATCTTGTTTGTTCCCGGGGCATTGTTCCCGGGGCATTGCTCACGGCGATTTTCTTGGTGGCATTTTTGCTTCTAACAATAATAACTCTTTATCGCTATAGCATGTGAAGTCAGGATTCCCAACATAGGGCGACCGATCTGAAAAGTCGTACTCAGCACCCATTACGGTGTTAAACACTGAATTAATGTTGACATCAATTGCAGTACACACCGATCTCTCCTTATTGAATGGATGCTGATATGTAAACTCCGGAACTTGGAGTCTTTTTTCCGGGTCGAAGGTACATAACCCGTTGCTTCGCTTCCGGGTTTAAAAAATAAATTACGTAAGAGGTGGTTTAGAAAAATGGTGTATAGGTGTTACGCCCAAAATTGGGAGAGCAAGATTTGTGTATAGCAATTAGCTTTGGGCGCAGCATAAATTATGTGGGTAAATATTTTATTACAAAATCTTTATGAAGACTTTCATAAGTTTCAGTAGAAAATCCATTTAAAGAACCATATTTTTTAATTACAAAATCAGTTGTATGATATATCCATGAATGTAATTTTGGATATTTTAATTCTGATGGTGTAGATGCTGTACGAAAACTGTTTTTACACTCTTCTAGAGACGATACATTTATATACATATTATGAGGTAAGAGAATCGTAATCGATTACCGAAATGAGGTAATAACTACGTATAACATGACAATGTAGTAATGAACTTCATAATACGAAGTAATAAAATAACATAACGATGACAAAATAGTACGTATTACTGGCGAAATCGTATCCACACGATGCCCCGGGACCCACAATTATTGAATGACGTCATCTGCGACAAACCCGTTGAAGCCAGGCCCTCCATTCAAAGCACTAACGCCGATCTTGTGAAAGCCAAGCCCCATGCCCGATTAGATTGGCATGTGTCAAGGTAATATTACCTTGTCGGGTTAAGTGTGTGGCCGTGGAAAAAGAAATGTGAATGAGTCAATGAATGTGTCAATGAATGTGTCAATGAGTAAAGAACGATGTCGCAATAATGATGGCGTAGAAGCCTTCATTTGACTTGCCTTCTTTTTCCTTCCGTAGAATGTTTCAATGGTAATGGCTTTGTATAAGGGATAGGACATTAGACCAAAAAAGGGTCATATGGCTTGAGTTCAATGACGGTCTAATGACAAATGAGAGGAGGAAACCTTCGATTTTGTTCTTTTCGTGCCCTGTAATTTTGTTACAAGTAAGAGGTCGAATTCCTCTTGTCAAAGTATCACCGCGTGTGTAATTTACTCCCTACACATTTAATTCATTAATAAAAATCCTCTAAGTGCAAATAAAAACATAACGCTCTTTAAGTCTGCTAAATACTCTTGTAACGTACCTCAATAGACGTCTTAGACCACGCCAAATCGTAACCGCCTCACCGCCTCACCCTCTCTTTTGAGTAATGCTTCCCTTGGTAAAGTGACAATTCGACACTTATCTCTTGTTTTGTGGTTGGTGTGTTTTTGACCATTTTCCTGCTAACAATAGGCATACGAAAAATTTTTGCTCAACAACGGGTGAGCAGATCAGTATAGTACAGGCCAAATTAAAACCACTCCATAATGATCTGCAAAACATCTAGAGCTTTTATCCAATCAAATTCAAGTTAAACTTTTCGACCCAGGTAGAGGTTGGAGCCGGTTTTAATAATTCGGGTTTATCACATGAATTTGGTGATATTTTAGAATTTAATCCAATTAAAATTTAATAAATTCTAAACTATCACCAAATTCACGTGATAAACCCGAATTATTAAAACCGGTTCCAACCTCTAGACCCAGGTTATGGCATGGACTAATAGTCACATAGGCAAGCTCAATAATTAAAGTCATGGTATATTAAGATACATGGTACAAAATATTGTAAGTCAAAATACTTCAAGCTTTTCATCAAAAAGTTTTTTAACCTTTTTTTTTTAATTTGAGTTCGTTTATTTTTATATTGAAAACCCCGGTTTATCATAATTTACTCTTAAGCACGGACATATAGACATGCCAGTCTACAGTAATATTAGAATAACTGATTAATTAAGGAATATTAAACTGTTTAATATTAGAATAACTGATTAATTAAGCCGTTTAATCGTATACCGAATTATATTAGTCATGAGCAAATCTATTATTATACTGGCTGACTAAAAATTTTTTTTTTTTGGAAAAAAGTACGTGTTGTAAGTGGGAGCGGGGATTTAAGTGGCTTTAGAATTTCTTAGTTAAATTGGCATTTCAGGGTGAAGTTTATTTAATACAACACTATACCCTAACCCTGAAATTCCAAACCCACTTAATCCAGTCCCCACTTACGACATGTGCATAATGAGCAAAAAATTATCATTGAGAAATGTTTTTAATTATAAAGCAAACAATAGTATAACCTTTATATTTACAAAAACTTTATCGTAGATTAAGAAAAAAATAAACGCAATATATTTTAGAATCATAGATCTAAAATATTTAATACTATCGCAAAAATGTAAGAATAATTGACAGTATAAGTTTGGATTTATAGATTTATTATAAACAGATTTTTAAGCTAATTTTTAGCATATCGAAAATTACAATGAAGATGTCGAATTTATCATAACATTGAGACTATAATCAAATATCTACAATATTATCGTACAAAATTTTTAAATAAAAACTAGATCTTGCAAGAACTTGAAGTTGTGGAAGAATCTCTTTCAATTTTTCAGGTGATAAGTTACGAAATTCAGGATCTTCAATCACTATACCTCCTGTGTAAATACCACCGGTAGCACCCTCAGGATCTAAAGTTACCTCATCAAGAGACCATTGTTCTAAGTCACGATATGCTATTGCAAGAATTCTTAAACTTCGACTAGCATACTATCTTATAATTGGTTGAGTAGTATCTCTTTCATGATCAGTCAGTTTCATTACTTGAGCTAGTATCGATTATACATCGTGATTTTTGAAGTAGCATCTCACTAGCACCCTTAACATAAAATCAAATAAGAATCTTCATGTATTAAAAGACCCCATAGTTTTTCGTTCAGAACTGAACGGATAAAATTGTATAGTTTTGGCATCCTCTTTTAAATGTTTATAATTTACACCTAAATCCAAAAGAAATTGTAGTAAAGCAGTTTCCGGTTTTGATCCCATAAAATTGATTTTTCCATTTTTTGGCCCACCCTCAAAAGCAGCAATAGATTTATATAAAATGTTTAAAATACGTTCCGGTATGGATAATATATTTTGCAATTCTTTTATATTGTTTTGGGGAGTTTCGTAAATAAATTGGCATTGTAAATGAATCTGATGATCGAATAGTGGAAATTATGATGGTTATTTGGTTTTGTTAACGTTCCAGTCTTATCCAAACAAACGGTAGTAGCATTATCCATTGTGTTGCAAGATGATAAAATACGCACAAGGTTATTCTCCTTTAACATACGTGTTGTTGCATAATAAAGAGCTATAAATGCATTTACAAATGTCAGGCATTTAATCAATATCAAACAGCTAATTTATGAAAAAATAATTTTTTAGACAAACCAAGTGCTACAGCCAAAGGTAAACCTTCAGGTACAGCAACGACCACAATAATGACCGCTGAAATAGTTATTCTTACCAAATAATTTATTGCTTCTGGAGCTTATGGTATACCATTAATACGAAAAGTAGAGTTGGGATCCTTTGAATATCCATCACGGCTATTTAATGAATATTCACGGATTTTAATCATTCGCAAATAATAATGAATGAATATACACATTTTACATGGATATTCATAGAGAATTCACAGATATTCAGGGAATTCGAAGATATTCATAGACAATTTGCGGATATTCAGAGATTTCGCGGATATTAATAGAGGATTCACGGATATTCGTAGATATTCAGATGATCTCATGTGATTGCTTTTCTCATATTTATCAACTATTCGCGCAGAATATTCACACAGTTATTTACACGGATATTCGCACAGAAATATTCATGCAGAATATTCACAGATATTTTACACGGATATTTACAAAGAATATTCATACAGATGATTTTCATAATATAATTCTTGACTATTCACGGATTTTTGTGTAACAGAGTATTTCATTGCTAATTGAATATTCACTTTATCCGTGAATATTCGCGGATCCAAACACTAACGGAAAGAAATAAAATATTTAATCAAGAGAACAATATTCATTAACAAAGCAGCAGCTCCTCCTAATTTGCGATTTGTTCAGTGAGGTCATTCAACATGACTTATATCAGTTATAAAAGTAAAAAAATTCATACCAAAGCATAACATAAATAATTCGTACACATCCAAGTTCTTCCTCTGCACGAATTTACCCCAACACCAATAACAACATAAGTACCCACACCTTCCAATACCCTGCCTCCGCTTATTATGAAAGGGTCAAGTTTAGAACTGCTGGACAGCTAGAGCCACTATATTTAGAGTCAAATTTTCTTTCACAAATATCGTATGTGGGCTTTTTTATAGAATTACTTTCACCAGTTCATCAGATTGATCACAATGAATGTTATAACTAGAAATTAAAATTCCATCAGCAGGAATAACATCAAGTTCTATTTGAATTATATCTCCAATTAAAACATCATGAATAGATATAAGGGTTCCTAATAACGTTAACCTCACGATCTTCTTTCTTTGCATTCAAACTTCGAAATAGTCTTTCCTTTCGCCAATCATTCACACTTCTAACCAATATTACGAATAAAATTGCATTAATGATCGCCACACCTTCAATCCATCGAAGTTTAACAAGGGCATTTTCACTAAAATCTTCATAAAGGTCAAGACCCAACGAGGTAACAGCAGCAATTGTCAAAAGTATTAAAACCTTTTCTTAAATAGCCAGCAACATAAAATCAAGAATTGATTTAGATTTACTCTCTGGTAAAACATTTTTTTACCAAAAGCTCTTATTTTATCAGAGAAAGGGGTTGTCCGGTGGATTTGGATAATTCGTAAAATTAGTTTCATTATCGCTATTGTAACATCATCTCTGGATTTTGTTGATAAAGGTTTTGACTCTTCTTTTGTGTTCAAACCATTAGTACTATCAGTGCGTAAATTCCAGTGGGACTACCTATGGATTTTAATAATCTGAAATATCTTTGATTCATCACTTTCCAAAGATGAGTTCAGGGTACGCAAAGGGACCAGTATTAATAGAATAGGTATATTGTACATTACGCGTCATGTTTCTTTTTCAACGGATAAGTTACTCATTTCTTCAGATTCTACTTTTGCAGAAGTCGAAGAATATATATAAAGTAACATCAGATTTGTCAACGTTAAAAATCTTTAGTAAGTCACTACTTTCAGTTTCTTGGGAGCCTTCTTCTATTACAATAATAGGGATGTTTGTAACAGGCGTATTTTTGTCAAAGCCTTTTCATGGTCGGGAGTAGGCATTTTTTCAATATTATGTAGTGAGAGTAATGTAAAATACATCTATAATCAAAACAAACAAATAAAATGATACCAACAATGATAAAAAAAAAGATAGGTCTTTTTCGATTTTAAACAGCTGCCCTACCTTGTTTAGCGCATCAAGAGTGCGTCGAGTGTAACCCAGGCTCGT